TTTGGGAGTGACTACAAATAGATAGAGATAGAGATATGGTTTTAAATATAGATGTAGTGATATATATATATATATATGTGTGGCTAGATAGATAGATAGATAGATAGGTAGATAGGTAGATAGGTAGATAGGTAGATAGGTAGATAGGTAGATAGGTAGATAGTAGATAGATAGGTAGATAGGTAGATAGGTAGATAGTAGATAGATAGATAGATGGAATGGATAGGATAGGATAGGATAGGATAGGATTAGGATTAGGATAGGATAGGATAGGATAGATAGGATAGGATAGGATAGGAAAAGAAAGGATAGGATAGGATAGGATAGGATGGGATGGAATAGGATAGGATAGAATAGGATAGGATAGATAGGATAGGATAGGATAGGATAGGATAGGATAGGATTAGATAGGATTGGATAGGATAGGATAGGATAGGATAGATAGGATAGATAGGATAGATAGGATAGATAGGATAGATAGGATAAGATTGGATTAGATTGGATCAAATTAGATCAAATTAGATCAAATTAGATCAAATTAGAATCGATTAGATAGATTGATAGATAGATAGATAGATAGATGGGTAGGTAGATAGATAGATACGATAGGATAAGATAGGATAAGATAGGATAAGAAAGGATAAGATAGGATAAGATACTATAAGCTAGGATAACATATATAGGATAAGATAGGATAATGTAGGATAAGATAAGATAAGAAAAGATCAGATAAGATAAGGTAAGAAAAGATAGGGTAAGATAGGATAAGATAAAATAAGATTAAATTAGATCAGATTAGATTCGATTGGATTCGATTAGATTAGATAGATAGATAGGTAGGTAGATAGATAGGTAGATAGATAGGTAGATAGATAGATAGATAGATAAATAGACCGATAGACCGATAGATAGATAGATGGATAGATAGATAGATAGATAGATCGATAGATGGATGGATGGATAGATGGATAGATGGATAGATGGATAGATGGATAGATGGATAGATGGATAGATGGATAGATGATTAGATCGATAGATGGATAGATGGATAGATGGATAGATGGATAGATGGATAGATGGATAGATGGAGCGATGGATGGATGGATAGATAGATAGATAGATAGATCGGCAGATAGATAGATAGATAGATAGATGGATGGATGGATAGATAGATAGATAGACAGACAGACAGATAGATAGATAGGTAGATAGATAGATAGGTAGATAGATAGAAGGATAGATGGATGGATAGATGGATGGATGGATGGATAGATATATATATATAGATGATATATAGATACTATATGAACTTGAGGCCAAAGGGAAGGGGACGAAAGCTAATCAGGCAACGAGGCTTTGCATGAAAAGCGCACGTGGCATGCCCCTTGTTGTCCGGGAAAAAAATGGGGAAAAAACCAAACATCAGAATGTGCGAAGTGGTTCAACTGAAGCTTATTCGGTTGAGGCACTTTGCGGTCACGGGGCTTTGGATTACAATGGGGATGTCAAGGTTCTGCTTACACAACGGTCTAGCAGCCAAGTTCTGCTTACAAAACGGTCTGGCAACCAAGTTCTTCTTACAAAGCGGTGGAAGGGTTATGCACCCACTGTGTGTACTTTATGCACCCCCTGTTTATACGACAAAATGGGGCGCATACCCCGCAGTGTCTACAAAACGTGTCTGGGAATAGATAGTACGGCTTTCACAGATGTTCTTCCGGCAACCAAGTCCTGAATACAAAAGGCTACAAAAGGGTTTAGCACATAAGTTCTGCTTACAATACTCTCTGGCAACCAAGTTCTACTTACAAAACGGTTTAGCACCCAAGCTCCGCTTCCAAAACGGTCTGGCAACCAAGTTCTAGTTACAACACGGTTTAGCAAGCAAGCTCTGCTTACAAAACAATCAAAACAGGTCTGGCAACCAAGTTCCTCTTACAAAGCGGTGGAAGGGTTATGCACCCACTGTGTATACTTTATGCACCCCCTGTTTATATTAAAAAATGGGGCGCATACCCCCCAGTGTCTACAAATGTCTACAAAATGCGTCCGGGAATAGATAGTACGGCTTTCACAGATCTTCTTCCGGCAACCAAGTCCTGAATACAAAAGGCTACAGTTCTGCTTGCAAACCTCTATGGCAACCAAGTTCTACTTACAAAATGGTTTAGCACCCAAACTCCGCTTACAAAACGGTCTGGCAACCAAGTTCTAGTTGCAACACAGTTTAGCAACCAAGTTCTGCTTACAAAACAGGTCTGGCAACCAAGTTCTTCCTACAAAGCGGTGGAGGGGTTACGCACCCATACGCACCCCTTGTTCATACTACAAAATGGGGCGCATACCCCCTCAGTGTCTACAAAATGGGTGTGGGATAGATAGTACGGCTTCCACAGTTTTTCTTCCGGCAACCAAGTCCTTTTTACAAAAGGATACAAAACGGTTTGGCACATAAGTTCTGCTTACAAAACCCTCCGGCAACCAAGTTCTACTTACAAAACGGCTTAGCATTACACTGCATTGCATTACACCAGAGTAGATTATATCACATTGGGCTACGTCACATTAGATTAGGTAGCATCATGTAGCATCGCATAGATTGAATGACATTACAATGCGTTACATTGCATTACATCACCACACTCCCGGTGAATATCATCTTGTGTAGTACAAGTATGTGTGTGTGTGTGCGTGGACTTGGAAACGCGTGCTCACAAATGAAACCCAGTCGCAGCCAAAACCAGTTCGACGTATAAAACGGCAGCTGTGTCCAGTCTGCCCCCAGTTCATTGCTTTTTAGCAAATCCAACAGCAAGCTTTCAGCTTTCGTGACATGACATAGACCTGTCTTGTGGATTTGTTTTTGTGTCTTCCACCAAGCTTCGCCACCGCCTGCGGTGCCGCGCCGGCAAAGCTTGCACCAGCATAGGGGCTGTAGGCTGTAGCAGCACCTCGGGTCTCGTATTGGGCTGAGGAATCCATGGGTTTTGACCCCTTAGTGGGTCACCATTCATAGATGGACAAGTAACTCATCATGAAATTAAATGAAAGTAGTAGTGATTGACTCAGGGTCTGGCTCCTTGGTGACTGACTCCGTCTAGTCTCAAATTAGTAGGGATTCACTTTTCCATCTATTTTGGGATGACTATAAATCTTGGGGGTTTCCTGGAACTCCCTTAAGCCAATTCCGGGAATGGTCAATTGAATGAAACATATCCAAGGTTCTAGTACGACAGTGACCATTTTATGAACGATAGCACTTTTCAGATGTGGTGATATACAGGGTGTTAGTCCATAATTCAAAACAGAAGTGGGGTCATAGTCATTACTACCGTTAATATTTAATCGTTGCGATGGGATTTGACGTGTCTACCAAATCGACTTTGTTTGGAGCTTGGACCCCAGGGGCTACAACAAACGCGATTGTGATTGTAGTGGGGAAATCTGGATGGATGGACAACAATCCCAAAAAAGAACAATATCATTATGGCATATTATGGCCATAGCCCACCAGCCGCTATAAAACCCAAAATGGTTTTGGAATCCATCCGAATTTATTGGAAAATCACTCTTGAACAAAAAAACAACCTCCAGAAGATCAGAAGGTTCCAAGCCGTGTGTGTTCATTTGAAATCAACATCAACTGTGGCATTTTCTCCGGCATTCTGTGGCTGCACCAAATCACCTGACAGATCTCCGGTTCGAACGGGGCCAAAGCCCGGGCGAGATCCCAGCGGTTGGCTACCTCCGGTGACGTTCTTAGCCACCTGCGGAGCTGTGGCGTTTTTGGGCTGAGTTATGTGGAGGGATTTCTTCAACGAGTGATTTTCCACTGAAGCATATCAGTTTGCCCTTCTATGGGATCAAGAATTTCACCATCCCTTTCTCCGGGGGTCATGAAATTTGTGCCACCCACGGGCTCAAATTATGTGAGTACATAAATGTACATAACCCTGCCTTGCATTTTTTTCTGATCATATGACCTGATCACCATTAGTATATCATATACTATCCATGTTTTTTTCGGAATCCGCCTGCTTTTTTTAGGGGATCTGTAACAGATCTCTTGTGATTCCTGTTGATCCTGACGACTTCCATCCGAGACCTGTCACTGAGTTCCAGACCATTTGTCCCTGCTTGGTCTCGCTGGGCTGCACATCAAAGCGCACCCAATCACCTGGTGAACTTCAAAGGACCCATGCTGACCATGCCGGCCATGGCATCATGTTGATGTTAAAGATTGACCCGGCCTGGTAAACATAGAAAAAGCGAACTGGAAAATCACCATCTTTAATAATTTTAATAGGTAAATCAACTATAGATGTGCTATGTTAAATTACCAGAGGGATCCAGAGGGTATGTTCTTTGACTGTTCCCCTTTCTTAACTTTCTGAATGGCAGGCATCGTGGGCGATTCCCAACCTGCTGTGTGCATTTCAGGTAAGCAATGCCCAGGTCTGTCCCAACAGCTTGGCAGCTTGGCCCTGGCCTACTTGTGGCTGGGTGTTCACGCACTCCTTCACGTGCAGCCACACATTCCTGAGATCCATGGGAATCCGCCAAGCACATTTCTGGAGATCTCGGGCCGGGTAAATTTTTGTGGGCCATGGGGCACCATGGTTTTTCTCCATTGGCTTTACCACATCACACTTTTCGTTGATGTAAAATCAAGAAAGATAAGAAAAAAAATCTAAATCCAGCATTTTTTCGTGGCTTTACCATGGTTTACCCCATAACATACCCAACCACCATAGGTCTCCCGGGATTTTTTTCCCCCATGTTTTTCGCGCTGAAAACAAACTTCCGCCCGAAGCACGGCTGTCCCGGGAGGTCGATAAAGCCGTAGCCCTTGCTGTCATTCCAGGTGCGCCTCGGGTTGTCGGTGCTCCCCCCATTAGAAAATGATGAAAAAATGGACCATTTTCTATGAAAAAATGATGGAAAAATGGACTGTGTTCTTGGATGATTTGGATGAACATTGAAAAATATTGAAAATCTGGGAATATTTAAAGGTGACGTTGTGGCATTTGACCCGGGTTCAAATGAAGCACCCCGAAAATCCCATGGTTCATCACTGCAGATGGGCGGCATTTTCAGGGTCATTTCATGGATTTCTGGCCGGATTTGAGTTTGAGATGGACTTATGAAGATTTACCCTCTGGTTATTTAACATACAAAAAGCTATGGAAAATTATGGAAAATCACCATTTTTAATAGGTATCACATAGCCATGGAAAATCACCATTTTTAAGAACGGTAAACCATCTATTTCTATGGGCCATCTATACCATAGCTATGTTAAATAGCCAGAGGGTAATATAAGCAGAAGCAGCAATTTGGTGGAAAGTTTGCAGGGATCTCTTGCACCTTATATATCCTTATATCCCATGCTTGGTAGAAGGGAGAACTGACAAGAACCGAAATTTGTGACTTGTAAAAAAACATAGGTATCCTATAAGGTGTCCTGCTATTTTTTGTCCTTAAAGCCATTGATTACCACACCCAAAAAAAACTCAAAAAAGGGGCTCAACATGGCTCAACTCCAGCAGCTGCCGCCATGGAACACCTTGCCCACATGGGTCCCGGTGCCAGGCACTTCGGGTGCCGGCTCCTGTGGCCCTGGGAACATCTCCTGTCGACAGAGGTTGCTGGACACCAAGCCCCGTGCCCAGGCCCGTGAAACCCACGGCGTCTCGGTCCTTGGCACCAGTGCCACCTTCCACGCTCTTGGCAACCTGAAAGAAACACGGCCAAGAATACTGACTCGGTAAATCAACTGGGAAATAGCTTGGAAATATAGTTCCACTCTGTTCTACTTCCAAGTTTGTTCGCATGTGGGTGATTGATCCGGGAACTGGCTGGTTTCGCAGAATGCTGCGTTCTGCTTGTTGATTTAGCACGACAACCTGCCTTCGAGGCGAAGAATAGGGAAACACATTGAAATACATAAATTCGCGTCGGGAAACACAAGCCTGCACAAAAAATCATGATGCGTGCAAGGCGTATCAGCACACAACATCTCGCTCTCTGTCATCCATCATTGTTCATATCCGAATACGGTATGGATTATATATATATACAATAGTTCTGCCATACTCTTTGCACAAAATGGAAAAGTTTCCTAAAAAGAACTTTGATCAATCCTGATCGTAACAGGAAGGAATAATATGAATAATGGCAATAACAGGTTGGCATTTAACAACAACAATGAATAAGATTTATATAAATGAGAGTGATGAGAGTGACGGGCAACAATAATGAGCAATATCAAACTACATCAAAGATGTTGAATGATAGCCTCTGGTCATTTCACATAGCCTGCATAGCATTGTATAGCTATAGAAAATTGCCCATTTATATAGTTTCATATAACTTTAACCGGAGGCTTCATCCAACTATATTCACAGTAATGTCCCAACAATATGCCATGATTCTTCATGAACAATTCCCATCATTAATATCGCATTAACTCCGCATAAATACCAAAAACATAGATAGTACCACACATATGAATTACAGATATTACTACATTATATTAAATGATAGTACACAGCCAATAACAACATTGGCCAACCGTTAATTAACGACGATACATCGCACCCAAATCTCCCAGCTGTATCCAGCTGTCAAGTTGAACCAAGTTGCCATCTGCCCGGGCTTTGAAGCGCTGGGTTCCATCACGAAGCTCAAGATGTCCCCAGTGAGCGGCTGCTTCCCATCGGTGCCTTGGTTGTCCGTTGCTTGTCCGCAGTCCGAGACGAGAATCGGCGGTCGGAAACTGGCCAGCCAAATGGTGGTTTAACATGGTTACCATTGAATAATGGTGGTTGAACCAAGAAAAATTGTGATTTAACCAATAAGGACTTAACTTCGAAAAAATGGGAGAGATGTCTGAGGAAATCTTGGGTTTTACTCTTGGGAAACCTCATGAATCGGATGATGTAAAATGGATCCAAGTGGAAACTATCAAACTACCCCGGTCCTTTCTGGTGATCACTTCTGCCAGCTTGCCAAGTCAACCACTAAGTAAAGCCAGAGAAAAGCAAAAAAAATGGAAGATCACAGAAATCACCCTTTTAAGCATCCATGTTTGCATGTTTTTTTTATCTTCAAAATGTGGATTTTCCACATCGAATGAGACCAACTGGTTGCTGGTCGCCTCACCCAGCAACCTGTCCAAAAGCTCAGCAATTTGCCATGACTGTTGGGGACATCCACAGTTCGGCCGCTTGATAATCTGCTGATGCGGGGAATTAAAAAGCAAATGAATTCTTACCCTCTGCTTATTTGAGTAATGTTTTTAATCCTTGTCTTTCGATGACCAGTAACATATAACCTACGCAACTGTCTACGCCAAGCCTACGCCATTAGCATGAGGTAGCCTACGCAGGGTATGGTCTGGTTTTTAAAGGGTGCCTGCGCGAGCCTACGCGGTGTAGGCTTTGCCTACGCGGCCATTGCCTCTCTTTGTTTCGATTGTGGCATGAGGCTTTGGAACCACAACCACAAATATCACAACTAACCAAGGCAAAATGAATGAGTTCTAACTGTTGCCAACGAATGTCTACGCAAAGCCTACGCGGTGTACGCGATAACGAGCTTATGCTAATGCAACTTACGCCGTCTGCATGGGAGCCTACGCCTGGGGCAAAAGATGTCTTGTGGAGTTCCCACTTTATCTATTAGTCTGCATCCAGAGATGGGGGAGGAAAAAAAACGCTACTCATTTGTTACAAAGCTATGGATATTGCCCATTTAGTTCGATGATTTATGATGATATACCATCAAAAATGGCGATTTTCCCAGCCCTGGCATGCCCCGATCAGGTCGCAGTCTTTGATATGCACGAAGACGTCTGTGCCCGATCCAATGTCCTCGAAGCGGCACAGTGTGATCCTTCAGAAGGGATCCCCCATTGATGGCACGTTTTGATGGCACGTTGACGCTGATTAATTGTGGCAACAAACCATGGCTCGATCTTTACTTGCATACATTAATATTAATATTGATTCATGCTGATTAATATTGATTAATGCTGATTAATATTGATTAATGTTGATTAATAATTAATATGATCCACATCATCCTACTACCAATCTCCAGGCGCCCGAAGCCCCAGGCCCAAGGTGTCTAAGGCTCGATGAATCCAAAGCCTTTCCCAGCGTTGAAGCTCTTGACTCTGCCCTGCGTCCGCGCCATGGCCACAAAGTCCCGCACGCTGCGGTGAGCGAAATCTTATACGACCAGCGGTGGGGTTTCAATCACCTGGTATAGTCTGCCTAGAGATTCGTGCAAAGATTTGACAGGTGTCTAGCTTGAAGCAGAATGAGTAGGCTCGCGTTGTCAAAATGGAACTGCGATTGCTTGTGGCCCATTGCAGTGAGAACGACAAACAAATCTTGATTTGAAATATAAATATGAGCAAAACGGCCTGCCATCGTTTCTGGGGCTCTGTCAGCCAAGGTCGCTACTGTTTTGCCCTCAAGCCCAATGATTTATCATCATTTTCCCCAAAATGATCAAAATGCCCTATTTCCATCTATTTCCAGACAAACCGTCCAATTATTCGAAGATCATCGGAAATGCATAACTGGCATAACTTTGATTTTGCATGATTTTGGCATCAATTTCGACATTTTTATGCCTTGCCTATCCTTGCCTATTATCTTGTCTATCTTCTTTATCCATCTACTTTAGCACTCATCACGTTCCATGAACTTTGCAGATTTCACCCCCCAATCAATCTGCCGCATTTTCTGGGACGCCACTGGGACTCTGATTCGGAGTCGCTGCCATCACAGCCTGGAGGAAGGGATGGGGATCCGATTCCACTCCAGGCCCCAGGCGTCCACTGATTTGGCATCGTTTGGCGCTGGACATGACCAAAGCCCCATTTTCAAAGGGCTGAAACTCATAGAAATTGCCCATTTTCAAAGGGCCCCTGCTGAGAATCCCCAACTGATCCAATTGATTGTGAATCTTATCGATTTCAAATATTTTTCCAAATCATAGGGGTTAGTGGTTCGCATGGCGGTAGCCGTAAGGACTGCATGGCATCCCATGGGTGGCTTTCTGAGGTACTTTCCCAGGCTTGGTGAAAGGGAAAATCTGTAAGAAACCCGTAGATCCAACCAGCAGCGGAAATGCCAAACCATGCCGTTTCACATGACCAAACCAAAACAACAATGGCTTTGTCTGAAAATAAGGCAACCCATTGCATCACCTATCCCGGTGTATCCCAGTATGTCCCTGCAAATCCCTATAAGTCTCTGTTTTTGGTTGGTTAAATCCGCAGTCTTTCTTCTAGCGTTTTACCCTTATAAGTACATATATATATATACCTTTTTCTTACATAACTTTGTATATGTATATATATACTCCATTACGTTTATAAGCCATTATAAATCATTATTTGTCAATCATACCCCCATCAACAACTCCAAAAACCCACCATGGCCGGGCCTGGAAACGGCACGACCTGCGTCCGATCGCCCACCCGCAGGCGTAAGGCATGCGCACGCAACGATGGCACCTGGTTGTCGCCACTGGGGGCTGGCTTTTTATGGGAAAATATACGGTGAAAACCCCAGAAAATGTATGAATATGGGAAAACTGAGTTTTCTCAATAAAAGCAAGTGTGGGATACAGCTATAGTTAAATTTGTAGGAGGATCATTAACTGGATTGTATACGGTCCTCATCTTGTCATTAAGCGGGTCAGTATTTGACAATTCGAGTGATAATTTCTTAACGCTGCCAGTTGTATTAACGACGTGGGGAAAATTGATCCTCTTCGCTTGGGGTGTGGTTGGGGTGGGGGTGGGCAATAACGTTCATGTGCACTTGCACACTGCACCGCCGCTACGGTGGAAAAGTCTTACGTTGCATAAGGCTGTGCTCTTAACTTCTTCAAGCAACTTCCAACACACTCTTGATGCTACGCTCTGAACTTCTTCAAGTAACTTCCAGCACGCTCTTGATGCTACACTCTTATAATATGCACAGCTGGCAGCGGCTGTAGAAATTGTGGCCACGATTTGTGGAGCAAGATGGCAGAGGTCTTTTCAGAGTGAAAAAAAGAAGTTGAATGTAGTTCAATGTAGTTCAATATAGCTGAATAGCTGGTTTGATTTGTCTGAAGCTACTTCGCTTACTTGACCCACTGGAAATACCTGGTGCAAGAAACGTTTAAATATGTTTAAATCATGCCGCAATACGAATACGGACGCAACCTTGTTAAATAATCCACTTGCACTTGCACTTGGCGGGTAGTATGCGTAGCATATGGGGAAAAAAAAGAACATGTACATTATCATAATATTTTGCGCATATTCTTCAGATAGTCATAGGTTAATATTCAGATATTATTTTATATTTGAAGTGAGAATTGGCTAATCCAATTACATCCAATTATATACATGTCGTTGGTAACTTTACACTGGTTACAATCAATTGGTGTTATACACATCATGTTACATCATCTCTCAATAACATTCCATCCGACTGCTGCCAGGCACTTACTGTACAACTGCTGCAGGCAGTTTGGGCCCTACACCGGCACCTGGAACTTCAACATTTGGATGGCATTCCAATCAGTAAATATGTCATAAAACATCCGGATTTTACACGATTTTACCATGTTTTACCATCCTTCTGTACAAACCTGGCTGGAATGATTCAGAAAAAAAAAAGAATTGGAATAATCCTCCCAAGGCCATGTCCCAAGGCCTGTGGCAAGCGGTCCTGACCAGGATCGTTTCCAAAAAATCGGCCCTGACCAATTGTCATCCCAGCAGGCAGCCAGTCCTCCAAGGACCATACGCGGCCAAAGGGGCTTTCCTACCGTGCCAGCTGTGCGTGAAAAGCTTCGCGCAGCCAAGGGAAATCGGAACCCTAACGGTTGACGGTTGCGAGGAAACAAATACGATGGTGAAATCTGACAGGTGATGGTCTATGGTTTAGTATTGGGTTTACCCTGGGAACCATCACTGGGGTTGTTGCATGTTGTTGCAACCACCACATTTGGAGTCACTCAAAGAAATTCCCTGTGTCCAAATGTCACCTTCACATATCCATCTGATCCCTTCAACGTGTTTCCGGTGTCCCTTAAACATCCACCATTTCAAAGTGCCTACAGGAACCCTGCCACCCACCCACTCTCAAACTTGTCCTTTGGCTCCCCTGGCAAGGTCAGTGATGACATGGTCCAGGCTAATGAGCAGTGCAGCTGCAAAGTTTCGAGATCATGATCTGAGATCTCAAGGCCAAAGTCTTGCCTGAAACGCGCGGCGCCCGATGCGCGTTGAACCCCCAGGATTATGGCAACTATCCAAGCTGATGTTACCCCATGTCTAATTGCAATGTGTCATGATGTTTCATGGTTAGCCCATGTCCAACCATCATTTTGGATTGTTAGTCCATCTCTAACTGCCAATGACTGATGGTTAACCCATGGTTAACCACAATTTTTGGGATGGTTAAGGGAAAATTTCCCGACGATATCGCCAAGCCACGCGCAGCCTCGCAAGCGCTGGGCCAGCCCGCGCAGCCAACGGGCAGATGCATCAGAGACAGAGACCTCGAATCAGTAATGATTTCCTTCACATAATAGTCAAAATCGATATATATATATATATATAAATGTGTGTGTGTGTGTACTGTTTTTCTCACTATTGTTATATATAAACACTCACTCCACTCTCTTTTCAAAACGTTGCAGACCAATTCTGTCAATTTAAAAGGAATCAAGTTAAACAATCACATAGAAAAAAGGATCAGCAAATGGTAACCTTACCATTTCAGGGCGCAATACTCATCTTCTGGCCACACCCAAGAAGACAAGTATCCCCCGTGCTCCCTAGGGACCCCGCCACCCCGGGGAACCCCCTAAGCACACAGCACATGGATCCTTAAAAAGCAGAAAAAAATTGCGCCCCCCCTTTTGTTTTGGCCGATTTTTCGACTTCAATTGTTTGCTTCCAAGGGGGGGAAGGGTTTGGGCTCTTAAGCCAGAGCTAAGTTTGAAATTAACGTGGATTCATGTTTATCCCTGTGAACATAAGGACAAACACTCACTCCACTCTCTTTTCAAAACGTTGCAGACCAATTCTGTCAATTTAAAAGGAATCAAGTTAAACAATCACATAGAAAAAAGGATCAGCAAATGGTAACCTTACCATTTCAGGGCGCAATACTCATCTTCTGGCCACACCCAAGAAGACAAGTATCCCCCGTGCTCCCTAGGGACCCCGCCACCCCGGGGAACCCCCTAAGCACGCAGCACATGGATCCTTAAAAAGCAGAAAAAAATTGCGCCCCCCCTTTTGTTTTGGCCGATTTTTCGACTTCAATTGTTTGCTTCCACGTCCCCCAGTCCTACGACTGAAAGGCGTGTGCTCAAGCGATGGCACTTCATCATGCCATTTAGCAAAAACATTGTGAAACGGGAGCAACAGTTTCCTTGGGATTTGGATGTCTGACAGCATGGACAAACCGGAGTTCAAATAAATTTTAGCTGTTTTCACAGCTGTCCACCTTCCAGCTAAAAGAACACGGTCTAAGGACCCACATTTGGTGAACAAAAAGGTGGCACCGCCTCTTCGAAGCGAGTACGGTCTAAATTCCCATGGCAACAACTGAAGACATTCAAGACATTCATTAAAAAGTGACCGCCAAGCATGAGGTTTGCAGGTAAGGAAATCATGGGGCCCAACCGAGCGCTTCCACAGCCATAACCAACGCAACACCGAGCGCTCAGTTATGGTGATGCTTTCAGCAGCACCCTGGCGTTTTCCAGCCTTTGTTAACCCCAAATTGATCACAGCCGGAGAACAAGCTCCTGTGATATTAACTTGCCAAGCTTGAATGCCCAACAGTTCTCCAGTTCTTAAAAGGCCATGGAATCCTACCAACAAACTAAGAGCAAATCCATAGTGCTCATGCATGACAGACCATCCTACCATTGCTTTAAGCACTGATTCACTCATAGGAGGGGCTCGTTGGGGGATTTCATTGGCGTTCCATGTACGTAGAAGGCGCCAGGAACTTGGGAGGCAGCCCCGCAACTTGGGGTCAGTGTCTTGCAGAGAGGCGAGCACATTGCTAGCTTCAGCCTTCCCCTCCCCTTCACTCCAGAGGTACTCGATATAATCACTGACCAAAGGATCAATAGCATCGCGAGCTTTTGGGAGTACTAGGTTCTCCCTTGTGAGGTATTTGAGGAAGCGATCAAGGGCTCCAGCATAGCGTTCTCTTGTTTTTGGTTGAACAGTGAGGCTTTTCAAACTTCCTAGGGACTTACGAACTTTCTTTCTCTCTTCCTTGCTCAGGCCACTATGGCTATTCACTTTCGCTTTACCCATCGTTTTTTAACTCCCCAGCGCGACGGCTTGTCGGCTGGGTTTTGATGCGTATCCACGTATCCCCAAAGGGGTTGAAGACCTGTAGCAAGGAGGAGTGATCCAATTCGCATTACTGTCCTGCGAAGTTTCCTTGATGAAGATCTGCCTCTGGAGAGACAGTGCAACACCACCAAACTGTCAACCAAGTGAACGCACCGGACATCTACCTGCTGCCGTTGCTCCGCTCTCCACCTCAGGGTGGTCAGGACCGCACGGGCTTCCAATACATTGATATGCTCTGGGCTGCCAACCCATCTCCAACCAGCGATGACCTTCCACCTCCAGAGTCTCGCTGGTATACTTGCTCGAAGCCGATGATAACGTACCGGAACTTCCGAGGCGCTTTGCACCATGATGTCTTCTCCTTTAAGAGATGCCAGTCCTGCCATCTTCCGTACCAACACCTCGCTCAGAGGAAAGGTCGTCGTGGAGTGATTGAAAGATGGCCTCATCAGCAAACTTGGGAGGTCTCCTCCCTTACCTGGAGTCAAACACTCTACCAGCTTTGCAAGAGAAGTTGGCTCTACTAGCCCCAGTAAGACCAGCAGTTGGCTAAGGAGCCAGGCCACAACCCCCACACTCCAACTGTTACCCAGCAGGGTAAGACGACAATCTTGGTGTCCTGCGGAGCCATGATAAGCCTTCTGCATGCATTGCTTGGTGTAGTCTACCGGGAAACCCAAGATTGCCTCTCGCTCGCGAACATTGGGAGGTCTTATCTCCCCTTGGTGCAGGACACAATGCAAATCCTTGTATTGATAGGGTGGAAACCTGTGCTGGTCGTCTCTCCACCTCTGAGCTTCATGAGGAAGACAATCGCGGAGCCCCGCCGGCTTACGCATAGGTCTGAGGGATGGTCGGGAAGTGGTGAAAGTTGGGAGTGACGCTCCAATGAGGGTGGCCCCTGGCTCCAGGAAATCCTTCGATTCCACTGCAGCCTGCAGCTGGACCTCTCCCTGGATTGGAAGGCGCCCATCACTCCCTTCCAAGATGCTCACCCCGGGTTCGGATGCCAGCTCCCAGTCAATCCAGTAGAGGCGGGGTCGATGAGCAAGGCTAATCCCCACGGCGTCAATGTACCACGGCATCACCCCGTACCCCTGGTTCATGATCTCACAGTCTTGGGCATCCATTGATGCCGCGTTTTCCGAGAGACTCCTTACCTGGGCCCAGGGAAAAGCACAAGCCCACGATGCGAGGGACATGACTGAAGAGGCTGCTTCTGGCATCCCTCAACGCCCCGCGTCGATCGGCGTTAAGCCCTGAAACCCCTTGGCACGGGGGTCCAGACCCCACCACGATGAGGCCGACATTGCTGAATTTGAGGCTCCACTCCAGCACCATCTCTTCCGTGACATCCTCCACCTGGTTCACGAGGATCGAGTCAGGGAAGTTGGCTTCCACCACACGCTGAGCTTGAGGATTGCACTCCACAGACACGTGTCCGGCCATGGGTGCCCGGATCAGGTCCAAAGCGACCCTCAGGGCACTTATACCATCAAAGAGCCCTATCGACAAGACCTGACATAGATCATGTTGTTCAGGTATATCACCCCTCACATGGCTCAGCGCAGCTACAGCGCCATATGGTGTGAGACCCTTAGATATGCAAAAGCCACCTCCACCAGTCGAGGCATCACTCACACTCACCATCTCATCAAACTTCACTCTAAAGTCGCTGAACGCCAGAGGGATGAGCCCCAGGAACCTGGTGAGCTCTGCCATGACCTCCCTTGACAATGGGGCCTTACGGCCTTTTGGGAGATCCTCCATCTGCACAATGGCATGCCATACCTGGTTCAGAGCCCCCAGCAAAGGACGCTTGAACATAGCCGCATACACCAGGCCGCCACAAACTACCTGCAGCTCCTTCTGGCTAGCGCAGCCTTGACGAAGAAGCTCAAGAGTCAACCTCACGTACTTGGCAATCTTTCCAGGTTTGGCACTCATCGTACCACGGTCCCCATCAATCCATGCCCCTTGGACTTCTGCATGGAGCGACTGTTCGACAGTCTTCTTGGGATGAGTTGGGAGACCACATGATGCATAAGCCTCCCTTAGGTGCTCAGCTACACTTGAGGGCCCCCTTTGAATGAGATCATAGGTACGCCTATCCAACTTTTTTAATTCATCAAAGTTATCCAGGTAAACCCTAAAGAGCTCAGCCTTGTGGCTGAAAGGCCTGTCCCGTCTCAGCTCGCCTTCACCCCCCCGAGGGGGATACATACTGCCCATGCTGCGCCGGACCACATTCCGGTGGCAATGTTGCGCAATGGCAACGCTGTTCAAAAACCCCATAGGTAAAACCCGACTACATAGAACCCAAGACTCATCAGCCTCCCCATCAGGAACCAGAGATTTAGGGAGAGTCCTACCAAATCCCATAAACTTGTACCAGGCCTCCGGAACTGCGAACAGGTAGAAATAGCATCTGAGGTCCTCAGAGGAGACAGTTAGTAACTCATGGTCGTCCAAATATAAGGCCGATAGTTGGGTGACCATGGGCAGAGTACAGGTGTCCCCTTCCAAGGGTCTTGTAATCGAGTTGAGAGGTTTCAAATTCATGATCAATCTGCAAAGCTCCACTTCTTCTTTGTATTCCTCTTTGGAAACCGCGAAAAGGCCATTCAGCAGCGGAGCATGCCCTACATGATGAAGATCAGCAACCCTACAACGTACGCAAAGGCCCCTTTCCAACAAACCACGTGCCAAACGTTCCCAATCAGCATCATCAACAAAAACACGGGGTGGTTTACCCAAAACCTGGTCCGGGGCAGGTAAAAGAAATTCCGCAAAATGGTTGACATAGTGAAGCGCTCCTGCATTGCAAAATTCCCTCAAATCCAACATACCAACTTGTTGAGGTAGAGAGGGCTCAATGCTCTCCCAGGTCACCTTACGAGCCAACCGAATCTCCTCTCCTTGATAGTCGACCCCTTTTACAGTGAAGAGTTGGGAGAAATTCCAATCCCCCAGGGGCTCATCAAGGATTCTAGAGGCACCCACAATCCCTTGCAGCCTTTTCATCACCCGTAAAGAGGACGGTCGGCCTCGGTTGGAGCTAGGCACACCATGCATACTGTTGAGGCAGGCAGCCAAAAGTCGAAGGCTTTCTGCACCAGGCCGCATCACCATGGGATGTCCTGAGACAGGTAATGGAAATATAGATTTCCCTCCTGTCGTGGGCCTGGGTCTGCAACAGCCATGATCTTCAAGTTCATTCAGGACATCCCACAGCAAGCCACCCACGTCTCTGACAGCACAAGTATCATGCTGTGCTACCAAAAATTCCTCTACCATCTGCTGCACTCGGCCTCGCTGTGCTTGGGAGAGAGTTGCATTTGAAATCTCTCTCCCCTGTCGCTCCTCAAACGAATTCAGAAAAGAAGTTTGGGAGACACCACAGGCTTCGCTGCTGTCCCTCCCTTGCATTAATTCAGCGTCGCGTTGGGCACATAAAAGTAGATCCTCAACGTCCTCGCTGGTGATACGGTTTGCCACTAGCTGCCACTCTGATTCTGCCACACCATCTGCATTGCCCAAACCTTCTTCCGTCGCCACATCATCACCAGACCGCACCACCATTCCACCATCCAAGCAAGCCGCACGCCTTCTTTTGCTACTGGGAAAGTTTGCCATTGGGAGATTTACTTCACCTCCCTTCCTGTCACTTCCGCACGCCATGCTTGCCATCATCTTTACTCCTTGGTTCACCTCCTCGTCCTTTGCCTCCCTCATCTGGCTTCCCTTTCCCTGTAGCTTTTCCTTTGCGATTTTTGCCGCCATAGATCCCTTCTCCTCCTTTGCCTGTAGGAGCTTTGCTGAGCAGGCTTTTCAGGCGCTCTTCTTCCCGGGCGCGCTTGGCAGCACCCAGTGCTTCGCTGCCCTCTGCCATGGAGTGCTGGTCACTCCTTACTAGTTCAAGTTGCCGCCCTGTGGCCCAATGGGAGCCTTTCGCCAAGGTCTCTAAAGACTTCAAGCGTTGGCAGACTATGTCTGCGGATCCAGCTATTCGGCCAAGCAGCAAGCTATCCAACACCTGGGAAAGTGTCAGAATCTCCTGCACCAGAGCCGGCGAAACTCCATGGGGAAGAATAACTTGCTGACGGCAGTATTGTGTGAAAATGGGAAGGAGCTCTGATTGGTTGATGTTCCAGAGCGTCCCCGTCTGGTCCATCAGAGATTGCCTCGCCTCCCTTACTGCCGCTGCTGTGAGCGCTCCTGGGCACCGCTTCCAGATGCGATGCAATTTGGTGTTCTCACCAAAAAGCCCTGAGTCATCATCGCCGTCTGATGTGCTTGAAGATGAAGTAGACGATACCGAAGTGTCACCTGAACTCGAAGAACTCTTCTTCTTCCTCCTTTTCTTGCCTTTTCCTAGCCTCTTTGCCTTCCGCAGGATCTTCTTCCGTCTCTCGGGGTTAGGATCCAGCCCCGTGGCGCTGAAGACATCCTCTAATGCCTTCTGTCCCACCACCAGGTCTCCTCCTGTCTTCTTGGGAGGCTCCTCAGCCCTCCCCTCGTCGCCTTTCTTCTCCTCAAGCCGCTTCCGTTTCTTCTCCTTCTTGGAAACCTTCTTGTCACCACGCTTCTCTTCCTCGCGCACTTTGGCCTGCAGTTCTCTGAGCTTGGCCAACTCATCGGGACCACCTCCAGCTGGGACTCCTCGGGCTGCCTCCAAGTTGGTCAGCCATGGAAGGCGATCTAAATTCACCTCCTCAAAGCTGTGGCCATGCACAAGGAGAGGGTCTGTCAGAAGCCCCTCGCACCCCTCTGTGCAGATGTGCACCCTGAGTTTCCTCCCCGGGGTGCCACTCAACACCCGCAACAGCTCATCATCCTTCGTGCCCGTGGTCTCCAACATCACAAAGAGCTCTCCATCCTCCATGCTGGTCCCAGCAACAAGGCCTGCCACCTGGACTACTCGCCCATAGTATCTGGCATCGCTCAGGCAGACCGTTTTCAGCTGCTTCAGCTGTTGCAAGGTCAGCCCAGCAAGCGGCCGCTCACCTGGCCTCGGCGGATTTTCCTCCTCATCCGCTCGGCTAGCTGGTCTCCTCAGGACCCCAGGGCGTGCAGCCGGTCTTCTAAGCGCGCCTCTCAACTTGGGAGCCATGCTCCCCTACCTGCAGCGGCGTCGGTCGTTGAACCGCTGCTGCTTGGCACGCCGCACCTGACCCTTATTGGTCCCACACGTCCACCTTGGATGCGTAGTCACCGGCAATGGACCAATCCAGCCCCTGCCACGAGGTGGGTGCGCAGGCTCAGGTGGACGATCACTCCGCCCACTCGCAAGGTAAGGTGGGGGATGATCCGGCTCAGGCGGCCTTTCTTTTCGTTCTCTCCTATCTCGGCGACCTCCTCGTCCAGCGTTGGGAGAACGATCTCCTCCCCTACGGCTTCTGCTTCTGCGGCGGCTTCTGGCTCGGCGACTGCGACTCCGACGCTTCGACTTGTGGCTATCCTTCTTCTCGGACCTGGGACTATGTCGGCTCCTGCTAGGCCCCTTTGCTGATGAAGCCGCTTCCGCTCTTGGAACCTCTTTTGGTGCCTCAGCCTGGGTCTCCTTGTGATGTGGCAGTTCTTCCTTCTTGGGCTCAACGACGGGTGGCGGTGGTTGCAAGCCCTTAGGAGGCTCAGTTGGTTTCACCTTTGCAGTGGTTTGAAGAACGCTCGCCGGGGCAGCTACCGGCTCCTTGGGAGATGGGGTGGTGGCAACACCCGGACTCTCCCCTACACCACTTGGAGGTGCAGCCTCCGCCGCTGGTGCCGCGGCCACGCCCCCTTGAAAAAGGCTCGCTGGAGCTCCTCGGCGTTGAAGCTCGTCTCGCACCTCCGCCTCAAGCAACCTAACTCGGTCGGCTGCCCAAGGCACAAATCCTGGAGAGTTACTCCCCGCTGCCACCAAAGAGAACAGGCGCGGGAAGCTACTACAAAGGCCACACGCGCACCCAGTGGCGTGGCCCCACATGCCCTGACTACTCTTAAGCCAGAGCTAAGTTTGAAATTAACGTGGATTCATGTTTATCCCTGTGAACATAAGGACATATATATCTCTCTCTCTCTCTACTTATCTATAGTATTGATTTATCTAGACAATGTGTACGCGTATACGTGTGTGCGCGCGCGTGTGCGCATGTGTATATACATGTGTATATACATATATATATATATGTGTGTGTGTGCACACTATTGCACACTTATGTTACACGCAATATGAGTATGTATATATATATATTACATGCGTGTTAATCCCTTCTTTCTATTACTAAAACACCTCCAAATAGGAAAAAAAATAGGATTGGTGTGGCACTTCCGGCTTTCTTTGGTTGGGCACAATTGGATTCTTAATTGTGGTAATTGAGAATCAATAGCAGAACAGGATTGTGAAACAATGGGTTCAACCCCCTACTAATAAAAATCGAATTGTACCTGGTTTTTTTTTTATTCGGGGTCCATCTCAACTTTTTTATGTTTTTTTATTATTAAGGTTTTCATTGGAATATTAGGGGAAGGCATCGAAATCCAGTTTTTGGCAATATTTTATATAGATTTTAATAAGGGATTTAATCAAATTTGAATCGAGTTTTCTTTATTTTTTTATTAAGGTGTTCATTGGAATATTAGGGGAAAGCTTCGAAATCCAGTTTTTGGCAAAGTTTATATAGATTTTAATAAGATATTTAATCAAATTTGAAATCGAGTTTGTTTTATTTTTTATTATTAGGGTTTTCATTGGAATATTAGGGGCACCCTGATACAAAATACCCCCTAATAATAAAAATAGATCACCGTGTTTACCATTTGGAGGGGTCCCCCTCGTTTTAGTAGTAGCTAATGGAATTTGACAAACAATGTCAGTCAACAAAAAACAATCATGATTATGGTGATGATGATGATAACCATAATAGCAATAATGATGGCAGCGACAGTCGCCCGATTCCAAGGCTTTCAATCAACCAGCCAAGCCGCTCCTGCAAAGTATCCTCGGCATGCGTTGGAATCCTTTACCCATCGTGAATCTGACCTTCCAAAATTATTTGGAAAGGCCAAACCTCAACACCATAATCTTTGCAAATATAATGACGGTGATCTAAAGCATGGTAAACAGCCCTGCGAAGCTCCAGATTCAAGTTTCAACGCTGAGCTACGGTCACCTTCTGGTGAGGCGAAAACATCCAAAGTCTCGTTGAACCAAATCTGCTCCTGCCGAGTTCGGATTCCAGGACAATCGAAGTGAAGAACCCTAAAGGAACCCGAAAAAATGTGCAACATCCCAAAGTGGCATTCTGATTGGAAACTGCAATTTTATACCCTCTGGTTATTTAACATAGCCATGGAAAATTGCCCATTTATAGATGGTTTACCTATTAAAAATTGTGATTTTCCATGGCTATGTTAAATAACCAGATGGTAGATCCATTTTCTGTCCAACTGGAATTTGCAGCTGGGTATCCGGTTATCCCCCACATGTTTGAAAAAAACCCTGGCAGATCTCCCTCCACCACCTTTGGCTCCTGCAGGCTCTCAGGGACTTGCAAGCTATCCACCACCTTCCGTAACCTGGACGGATAGGGAATCTACAAATGCCAAGTTGCTACATGTATGGCATGGGTATATCATACATATCTAGGTAATATCTATACACTAAGATGTGTGTTATTTCTATGTGTAATCATATATATACATACATATGATATAATGTTGTTTTGTATGCGTAAGTATGTATAGTGTGTTTATAAATGTTCATAATGTACATACATGGTTTATACGTAGTATGAATACATTAATATACATACATTACGGGTGTAAATACATATGTGTGCATATGAATATACATGCATATAGTGTATACATACAACAAATATGTATATAGATATAATATACAAATACATTCACGCACACATAGACATACAATTATATATATATATATGCTGAACAAGCACAAGCATATGTATATGTGTATATATATATATGTGTGTATATACATATGCATACAACACCATACAACGATACTTTTTCTATGTCAATTTCTACGCTAATTCCGAATGTCAAGTGCTTCCAGCACTGGCTGAGCACTGCGCCTCTCCTCGAAGGGTCGAATGAACTGCCGCCGCAGCATCAACAGCGGTGAGAGGCTGATGTGCCATCCTGGCAAACATCAACCAGGCTTAATAGTGGTCTATCGTGGTCAAGCTTGTGGTCTGTAAACCATCCCGCCATCAATGATCCAGTTTTTACATTTGGGATAAATCTTAAAACCATGCCCACTGCTTTCGAATTGCGACGATTCTACGCCATCAAGTTCAGGGACGTTTCGTCTAGCCACGGGGTGTCGGATGGTCCTGTTCCCTCCTGGCCAGCGGGTACCAAAAAATTGGATGGAAATGGATTGTGGAAACACTGCTGTTTCTGGCAGATATTTCACAAAAATTGGACTGGATGCTGTTGTTGAATCATGTTGAATCTGTTCACAGATCAATTTCAGCAAATGAAAAGGATGAAAAGGGCACCAGGTCTTCCCCTCGAGATAACTACTGTTCTGCACTTCAACATGCCTCAACCAATAGCAGGGCATGTTCAACGCAAAGCCAAACATCTTTCTCAGAATGCAGTGCCCACTCTGCGACTTGGTCACCCCAAAATAATGATGGGGTTATCTCTAGCCATCTCTACCCTTCAGCAACTAAAATTTAAGCGCAACGTACAGCAAATAACTTCATGCTGAACATGGAAAATCCCAAATGCAAACGTGAAAATTAGCCTCTGGTAAATTAACAATAATTACCCTGAAAATAGCCTAGTTTTAATGGAAATTAATCGTCCAACCCCGATGACTGCCAGGGTCTATGTTAATTTACCGGAGGGTAACTTGCCTTTCAAATTGGAAAGCTCCCATGTGCGATCATGTGCACCCGTTCGACCACTGGCTTTCGCATCATTCAGATTTGTTTGCTGAATGGTGATCATTGGTTTGCAGTAGTGGATGACGCGAAGAATTACAAGAAATGCGTTTTATCTGGTGGTTAAGGAAAATGGTGTCCCGCATTTTTCCGTCAAACAAACCCAATGAAAGTTCAACCTCTGCTCCAGGAAACCAGATGCATACATCATTTACCAGACTAAATCAACATCAAGAAATACTGGTTAAGTGGTTGTGGCTTTGGGTTTACCACATTGCTTCCTGACGCTAATACCTGTGGTTGCATCACATTTCATAGATATCTGATACATAACCATCCAATAACTATGTGCATAAATAATTGCTGTACAGCATTCTTGATATTGTTATATACGTCATTTCAACATTCCATATAGAAACAACAAAAATATCACTGATATACATGCTAAATATCAATATACATTGATAAGCAAGTATGATATATGTGTATATATATATGTGTATATATATATATATGGGGGTTGATCAAAACATAGTTGCCGGTGTGTTATTAGAAATGACCTTGCGCCCGCCCTTGCGCTTCCTTGCGCTCTTCAGGGTTTTTATTGTGTTCCATTATATAGATTAAAATATGTATTTAAGAAGTGATTGCCGCAAAAAGTTGCTCAATTCAAGGGGGTGTTCACTGATCCAGTACGCTGTGCAACACAGACTTTTTTAGCCTTCGGAAGCAAAATCTGATGATTCGGGGCTCGAATTCTCAGAATTTGAAGATTCTGGGGAGCTCTACCTACAGAGGAAATTTGATTCCCAAAACGACCATTTCGAGCCAGAAAGCAGCTTTACGGGAATCAAATTTCAAGAGGTATGGTAGAAGGAGAGTGTATACACAGAGGAAATTTGATTCCCAAAACGGCCATTTCGAGCCAGAAAGCAGCTTTACGGGAATCAAATTTCAAGAGGTATTGTAGAAGGCAAATATATACACATAGGAAATTTGATTCCCAAAACGGCCCTTTTGAGCCAGAAAGAAGCTTTACGGGAATCAAATTTCAAGAGGTATGGTAGAAGGATAGTGTACACACATAGAAATTTTGATTCCCAAAACGGCCCTTTTGAGCCAGAAAGAAGCTTTACGGGAATCAAATTTCAAGAGGTATGGTAGAAGGAGAATGTATACACATAGGAAATTTGATTCCCAAAACGGCCCTTTTGAGCCAGAAAGCAGCTTTACGGGAATCAAATTTCAAGAGGTATGGTAGAAGGAGAGTGTAAACACATAGAAGGTTTGATTCCCAAAACGGCCATTTTGAGCCAGAAAGCAGCTTTACGGGAATCAATTTTCAAAAAGATACCAAAAGCTACGGAGGTGTTAAAAATGTTTTTTCCGGAGCCTTGTAGCGATGCCTGTCCAACTTGGCAAAACAACCTAAAGAGAAACTTGCGCTTACCTTGCGCCAGACTTGGGTTCAAAACAGGCATTGCAAAGGCAAACAACTTCACTAAATCCAACGAAACCTTCTATATGTATACATTCTCCTTCTACCATACCTCTGGAAAATTGATTCCCGTAAAGCTGCTTTTTGGCTCAAAATGGCCGTTTTGGGAATCAAACCTTCTATGTGTTTACACTCTCCTTCTACCATACCTCTTGAAATTTGATTCCCGTAAAGCTGCTTTTTGGCTCGAAATGGCCGTTTTGGGAATCAAACCTGAATCAAACCTTCTATGTGTTTACACTCTCCTTCTACCATACCTTTTGAATTTTTGATTCCCGTAAAGCTGCTTTTTGGCTCGAAATGGCCGTTTTGGGAATCAAATTTCCTATGTGTATACACTCTTCTTCTACCAAAATACCTCTTGAAGTTTGATTCCCGTAAAGCTTCTTTCTGGCTCAAAAGGGCCGTTTTGGGAATCAAAATTTCTATGTGTGTACACTATCCTTCAACCATACCTCTTGAAATTTGATTCCCGTAAAGCTGCTTTCTGGCTCGAAAGGGCCGTTTTGGGAATCAAATTTCCTATGTGTATACATTCTCCTTCTACCATACCTCTTGAAATTTGATTCCCGTAAAGCTGCTTTTCGGCTCGAAAGGGCCGTTTTGGGAATCAAATTTTATATGTGTATAATTGTGTATACACTCTGCTTCTACCATACCTCTTGGAATTTGATTCCGTTTTGGTAGGTATGGTTCCGTCTGTCCTGCCTACCAGCTCTGAGCCGCTACAGCAGCAGATGTTCACTGATACAGAAAAGAACAACGATATTAAATATATTAATATATCTTGCGCCCGCCCTTGCGCTTTCTTGCGCCTCCCAGGCAAAACGGACTACAAATTTACAACAACATACTCCATTCATACGTTTGTATAAAACTCCTCTGCGGGGGTTTTGATCGTCACTCATATATATTCTAGATATACCATGGCTGTATGGCCATATACCATGACTATCGATGGCTCTCCTTTGCCACCATTGTCGCCTCACTGGCGCCCAAGCGTTGCAAGGCAGCAACCGCTGCGCTGCCAATGGCCTCCCAAAGGGGCCTCGGGGAAACATCGGCGAAATCCACTGGGTTTTACCGAAAGAAGCCGGCAAAATGTTGGATTTACGCAACTAGAATGCAGCACTAGCAAAAATGCCTGAAAAATTAGCCAATGAAATTCTGGATCTAAGCAAATAGATTCAGGATTCAAGCCGCAACCACTATTGGGATTCAACTAACAAGTCGTAATGTAACCAACAAGACTGGGGATGCTAAACGACAGTACTGCGGCTGAATGGCTATGGCTCTAAATATGGGTCCACAAAACATTGATACTTTCTGGGAGGTATTGACAATTTTTGAACTAGCTAATTGAGGAAGACATGGTTTTGAACCATGGTCAAGTGTGCGCAAGACATCAGGCCATCATCCCAGCTGCATTCTGATGTTTGGATAGATTGTCCTGGATATTTTACTGACATGCAGGTGATTTGCTATCGGATATTCTATCCGATAGCATAGCATTTATCATTCTGGTCGTGTTCTACCCTTTCCACCAGGGACTCATCACACCACCATGCGCGAGCCACTTCGGCTTGATGGGCACGAAAACCTGCGTGGATTGCGTCCCACAAAACTACCGGCTGGGCTGGTGACATTTGATGAATGATCAAAGAGTTGTGCCAAAGTTCACCGTGCAATGTTCTTTCTCCAAACTCCGTAGAATTGGCTGAGTTCTTGGGATCTGACTTCGCCCCCAATCTGACAATATGGTTTGTCTGAAAATAACAAACCCCTAAATCAAAACTGTTTATCAAAGTTGCCGTTTTTGGGAGCATAGCATAGCATAGCCATTTTCCAAACATTTCTGGATACTGTCAAATTGATGGTGTGCACCCCCAAAATTGTAATTTTAATTTTCATCATGATTCTCCAGTTACTCTCTCCATCGCCTTCTCGAAGAGTTCCAGTTACTGTAGTACCCTATTCTTCAGACACACCCAAAGATCGAATCGACTTGATATGTTTTTCCTCATTACATTCCATTTGCCAATCATATCCTTATCCTCATTATATGTATCATACCAAGCTGGTGAAATATTGGTTATGTTCACTGCTAGGACAGCTAGGATTCACCCATGAAATGACTGGCTACCCAGTCAACATCCCCATCGTTTTCCCATAAACACACCAAAAGGTGGTTTCCCCCTATGTCCCCTATGGGAAAATTATGGGAAAATTATGGGAAAATTATGGGGAAAACTATGGCTAGCCATGACTCTGACCCCTCTGACCTGATTTTTGTCCCCTGAGGCCCTGAGTTCGTCACCAGCGTGGCAAAGTTCCCCTCCACGTGTGGCACGCGCCGCGTGCGTCCCCCGTGCGCACGTGGATCTTCGCTGCGCGCGAAGAGGCTCTGCAGCGAGCTCGGGACCTGGCAGTCCAGCTGTGCGGTGCAAATCATTGTTCCTTGCATTGGGGGGAATCTATGGGAATCTTACGTTTGATATATCTTGAGTTTATTACCAACGATGTGATGGTATAATTATATAATATATAATACAACATGATGACAAATGAATATGTATAATTATATAGTATGCAATCATATATACATATATAATTACCTATACATATATATATACATGATTGTCAGCAATGATGGCTTATGATTGGCACCATTCCTGTCATTCCTGTCATCCCATGGCATCATTGGCACCTCCAAGCGCCGTTGCTTCGCCGGCCGCGACGACGCCGAGCTTTCCGAGCTTTCCGAGGCGTCCGAGGCGTCCGCCATGGCGTCCGAGGCGTCCGCCATGGCGTTTTGGAAGGCACGGGTTGCCCGGTGAATCGGTGAATGCCCTTGGAAAATGATGGAAAAAACGGGTGAAAAATGGGTGAAGATTGGGTGAACAATGGTGGGGTTATGCCCAAAAGATTGGGAATCTCAAATTTCAAAGCCCAGAAATTGGACATTTCGCCAAGGACATGATATCATTTGAAGGCGGATCCACCCAGAATTTCCAGCAGTTTAGCCGCACCAAGCTGCCACTGATTTCTACCAATTTTCACCTGCTTGAGCTCCAAGCTCTCAAAACATCGCTGGCAAAAGCTCTGAAATTCAATGAACCCACAGGGTATGTCTGAAAATGGGGTATACATGGGTATACCCCCAATTATAGCCATTTAGTAGGGGTATACCCCCAATTATAGCCATTTAGTAGGGATAATGATCATTAACCATTGGGTGTAGGGGTACACTATTTTCAGACAAACCCAACAATCTCCGAAAGACACAGTGGTGAAAATCAATTAGTCACCAGCCATTTCCCCGGGTGCATGTCGGATTGTTCAGAACAGGAACAAAAAAACAAAAGCAGGTGCTTGAAAAATGTTTTTTCATGATTTTTCTATATGAATTATGTCTTGGAAAAAACTTCCAACATTTCCAAGTTTCTCGAATTTCTGACCAGCTTTGGTTGTCCCACATCTTGAGCTACCCTCTGGTAAACTAACATAGCTATTGAAAATGGCCCAGTCGAAATAGTGGATTTTCCCTAATTAAAAATGGTGGATCTTTCCATAGCTATTTTGACATAACCAGAGGGTATATCCCATTAAATCCCATTGAATCCCATTAAACCACCATTTTCCTATGGTTTTCCTATATTAGTTTACCAGAGGGTAATTGCACCATTGCACCCCACCTCTTCATCCTTGGAGGCTGTTGCTATGGCCCGAGAGCCCGCCTCAAATGGAGCCAGGGCGGATCGTCGTCATGCCACATGGCAGCCATGGCAGCCGTGGCAGCCATGGGTTCTGGTCATCCCGCCATATCCCACCAATATATTAGGTATATCTATAGTATATATATATATATTCCCAATATATTAGGTATTTACTATAATATATATATATATAAACATGGCATTAGGGATTCCCAATGGCTATTTAAAGTATTTAAATCCCTGTTCATGGATTGATGACCATCCCCATTTCATGAATCCCTGTTCATGGATTGATGATGATTGATGACCATTTTCATGGGAAAGCAATCCATGATAATCCATGGCTTATCGATGCTTTTCGGCCCAGGACCTTAGGACCTTTGAGAGGTCCACATTGGGATGCCACACATGC